AAAAAAAAAAAAAAAAAAGCACCAACAACAAAAATTCAAAGGGGAAAAAAACGCCCATCAGAATTCAGCAAATTAGCTTAACAATCTGAAAGCAAACTCCACAGTTAATCGAAATCCAACAAACCCACTTGCAGTTTCCAATCAAAAAACCAGTAACTCATCCTGAAATACGTAACAAGGACGTAGATACGTACTAACACACACACAGCCATAAAACACGCAAACACATATACGTATGTAAATAGGAAAACGAAACAAATACGAAAGGAAAGATATGTGTGCGAATTACCCTTGCAAGTCCGAGATGGAGGAAAGTCACCTGTTAAGAAGTGACTGGAAAATGGAATTTGAATTTGAATTTGAATTTATTTTTTCTTTTCTCTGTAGTTTTTGCACTTTTTCTGGGTTTTTTGAGTTTTGGATGGTATAGGAAAAATGGGAATAATTTGTTTTGTGGGGGTGGGTGGTGGGTGGTGGGAAGTGAGTGGATCCTGGTTGGCTTTGGTCATCAAACCATCTGCCTTTTCCTACCCCTTTTTCAAAGTCAAAAAAATGCCTCCTCTCCTAATCCTTAATGGATCCTGATGAATGATGATTTGCTAATATTTTTTTTTTTATAAAAAATATACATAAATTAAAAATAATTTTAAATTATAATTATGTATTTATGAATTAAACGTACTCTTCGTGATTTCTCTTTTTAGGCCTTTATTATCAAGAATGTATTCTGGGCAATAATGTGAGAGCAACCCAAAATAGTAAAAAAAAAAAAAATGAAAAAATAGAAAATTTACCTGTATGAGTCTGAACCTTTATTTTTTATTTTTGATAAAAAAAATTTTGTTAGTGTAATTATTTGACTAAAACAGTTATAGATTCAGAGTAAAGGATAAAAATTTTGACCCAATAATTAATGTAAATAACATATTTTAAATCTATTTGAAGTATATAACAGTTTACTGTGTAAATGTTCTTTTTATGATTAGTAAAAAAAAATTTCTACGTAATTTCTTTTTTACGACTGATAAAAAGATTTTCTCAAATAAATAAAAAAAATTTACTACGTAAATTATTTTTTATTAGTCATAAATAGAAAATTTACACAATAAACTACTATTTAATGTAAATAATTTTAAAATATATTATTAACTTAATTTAGTTTCATAAACCTGCTATTTACTAAAATTTATTTATTTTTTTGGGCACTTCGAATAATTAGATTGGGTATACAATGATATGTTGAGAGAACGTGTTAAAATAGCATATTTAAAAAACTAAATTAAGTAAATAGAATATTTTAAAATTATTTAAAATAAATAGTAATTTACCGTGTAAATAGTTCATTTATGACTAGTAAAAAGATTTTTTTCACATAAATTTCTTTTACAATTGGCAAAATAATTTTTCGACTAAATAAAAATTTTCTACCACATAAATTATTTTTTATTACTCTTAATTGAAAATATTTACACAAAAAATTGCTATTTAATTTAGATATACAATTTCCGTATGCTTATATATTATATTATTATTATTGTAATTTTTGAAACAACGATATGTTATTCTTGAATTTTTCAATATTTTGTTTTTTTTTCAATAATTAAGATTTTGTTTTGAACGAATTTTTTCCTTTTTTTAAGAAATTAGTCTTTAAAACGCTCGTGATTCATTTAAATAACGATCATACAAATAATTTAAAAAAAAAAGAGAAAAAAGGAAAAAAGACATAAAAATGTAAACGAAAATGGGAGAAAGATCTGAAGCAAAGATTAGAAAAAAGTTTTTAACTTATTTCATTGTGTTTTAAATTAGTGGGAGTGATTTTATTTTATTTTAATATATTTTTATTTTGTTTTGAATTATTTATAATATTTTTATTTGAGTGGCATTGAGAAGGAAAAACAATAAAAAAAAGGCCACAAAAGAAATGGAAAGAAAAAAGAGAGAAAGATCTGAAGAAAAAATATGAAAAAAAGTTGTTAAGTTATTTGGCTGTGTCTTAAATTAGTTTTATTTTATTTCATTTAATTTGTTTTTTATTTAATTTAGTGCAATTTTATTTTATTTAATTTAGTGAATTTTTATTTTAATTTCTTTTTGTGCAATTTTATTTTATTTAATTTAGTGAATTTTTATTTTAATTTCTTACTCTAATTATTTGTAACATTTTCACATGATAGTATCAGAAATTCTATGCAAAATGGTGATAAAACGGATAAAATTGGACCATAAATAAGCCAAAAATTAATAAGGAAATATAATAAATAATAATTTAAAAATAAAACTAGATTTTTTTCGACCATCGAATTAAAAGAACGAACGACTAGGTGAGAGCATATGCTACAGTAGAGCAGGAGTGAAGACTTTTTGAGCAACGTGGGGGCCGCCACTAACCGGTT